AAAAAAAAAAAAAAAAAAAACTCTGAGATGTCACCTCACTCCAGTGAGATCAGCCCACATCACAAAATCCTGAACCTGCAGATGCTGGTGCCAATGTGGAGAGAAGGGAACACTTTTGCAATGCTGCTGGGATTGCAAAAAAATGCAGCCTCTATGGAAAAAATTATGGAGAATTCTCAAAGAACTAAAAGTAGGGCATTGTGGCAGGCACCTGTAGTCCCAGCTACTTGGGAGGCAAGAGAATCGCCTAAGCCCAAGAGCTGGAGGTTGCTGTGAGCTGTCACAACACTACTGAGGGCGACAAAGTGAGACTCTATCTCTAAAAACAAAAAAAATCAAAGAACTAAAAGTAGACCTTTCGTTTGATCCCACAATCTCATTACTAGGTATCTACCAAGAAGGAAAAAAAATCATTTTACCACAAGGACATTTGCACTAGAATGTTAACTGCAGCTCAGTCCATGATCTGCCAAGTCATGGAATTAACTCAAGTGCCCATCAACCCATGAATGGATTAACACACTGTAGTGTATATATACCATAAGGAGTACTATACAGCCATAGAAAAAAATGGAGCCTTTACGTCTTTTGTGTTTACCTAGATGGCTGTGAAACACATTCTTCTTGGCAAAGTATCTCAAGAATGGAAAAACTATCCACTGTACTCAATACTAATATGAAACCAATACGTAAACAACTACAAGCCCACACAAAAGAAAAATACAAGTATAGTCCAGCCAGGGGGAGGGGCAGGGGTGAAGAGCTAGGGTGATTGGTGGGATCTCACCTGATGTGCACAATGTGAAGGTGTTCAACACCTCCCGTGGGTGTTTGTTTACACCACTTACCTGCCATTTCAGCTGGGGCTGTGTAGCCATATCCCTTGCCTATTAAATACTCCCTATATCATAGGTTGTTGTGATAATTAAATTTGGTTATCTGTATTGACTAACTTCCAAACAAGAAGATATATTCAGATTGTACATTTAAAAGGCTGAAGCTGAGCTCCTTCGGGTTCCCCAAGGTGTGACCCGGCCTACACCCCCCTTTTGACTTGCGGCATCGCTACGCATGCGCACAGGCAGGCCTGAACCAGGAGAGCAGGCGTGGCCGCCAGGAGGCGCCGCTCAGTCGCGGCTGCTCTTCCAGGTTCCCAGGGGCCTGGCTTGGGCCGTAGGGGCGGTGCAAGTTCTGTGCGCACGCGCCTCCCCTGGTCATCTAAGGAAGATGGCGCTGGTGGAGCACGTTGTGGCAGACGCCGGGGCTTTCCTGCGGGACGCGCCTCTGCAGGTACAGGGAGCTTTAACCCAGAGGATCCCGTTCTGGGCTGGAGGCACCTGAGGGACAGCGTGAATCGGGCGCGTGTGAGCTGGGCCCATCTCTCCGCAGGACATCGGGAAGAACATCTACACCATCCGGGAGGTGGTCAGCGAGATTCGGGATAAAGCCACGCGCCGGCGGCTCGCGGTCCTCCCCTACGAACTGAGGTTCAAGGAGCCCTTCCCGGAATACGTGCGGCTGGGTGAGTGCCTGTTTCGGCGTTGACGGGGAAGCCGAGGCCCGGCGTGCACGTGTGACCCGCTCGCGTCTGGCAGCTTTAGCTGACCGTTTGGTAGAGACAGGGCTTGGGGGATCGTGGTGGGAGGAAGGCCTCCTGGTTCCGGAGTCAGCCAAGCCTTGCCAGTAACTAGCTAACTGCCCCTGGGTGCATTACTGAAAAATGGGAGTAATAATACTATCTCCCTCTGTGACTGCTGTGAGCACTAATCGAGGCATATGTCACTTAGCATCGTGTTTAGCGCTTTATAAAGATACAGTAAATTTGTTTTGATTTAAAGTAGGAGAACCCAAATCTTCTACTACTTTTGTCCATTTGTTTTCGGTAGATGCAGGTGGTGTCTGTTTTGGATACAGAGGTCAGCCTCAGCTCAAAAAGGATGCTTTTATAGGTCTTGCATTCAGTCTGGAAGAAAACTAAACAATTATCTACTGACTTAGGAGTCAGGCGCTGTTTTCTGTTAGGGGTCAAGGTGATGATACTCAGTAAAGGCCCTCAGTGATTTGAAGTGTTTTAGAGGTTACTTGCTGAGTTCTATGGCTTTCTCCACCAACTTACTAGCTATGTGATCTTTGCCAAGTTACTTAATCTTTCTGAGGAAACACTAATAGGATTTGACAGAGGATAAAATGAATTAACGCATAAAGCTTTTAACATAGTGTGTACCACACAGTAAGTGCACAATACATTGTGGCTACTGCTGACTCATGTCTGTTTTTTAGGAAATGGGAGTAGTGTACTTAGTAACTGTTTCTTGTACCAGTGTAGCAGAACACATCTTTATGTTAATGTTGGGAAATTTTCAGTGTTTATTGGCCCTGCCTCAGGGGAATCACAATAGTAACAGCTGGTATTTACTGTATATATTAAGCATAGATGTGTCTTAAAAATTGTTCATTATTTGTTACAAATGTCTCAGTATTTTTATTTCTTCATTGACTACAATTAGAGATCTAGCATCTCTGTTCCCAAAATTCTAAATCCAAATGCTCCTAAAGCTGAAATTTATTTAACCTCAACTTTGTGTGTGAAAATTATTAAAATTGTTCTATAAAATTACCTTTGGAACAACTCCTTAGCCAGGCACAGAAGTATGTGCCTGTAGGCCCAGCCCCTTGGCAGGCTGAGGCAGGATGATCACCAGAGTCCAGGAGTTTAAGGCCAGCCTGGGCAACATAAGACCTGCTCTTTTATTTTTTTTTGTACAGAGTCTCAACTGTGGTCCTGGGTAGAGTGCCATGGTGACATCATAACTCCTAGCAACCTCAAACTCTTGGGCTTAAGCAATTCTCTTCCCTCAGCCTCCCAAGTAGCTGGGACTACAGGTGCCCCCCACAACACCTGGCTATTTTTGGTTGCGGTTGTCATTGTTGTTAGCAGGCCCAGGCCAGGTGTAGCTGGCGCCCTACCTACTGCTATGGGTGCTGCCCAGACCTGATCTGTTTTTTAAAAAAGATGTTAAATTTAACTTCATGCTATATACAAAAAGCGTATATGAAGCATAGATTTATTTTGTGTTTTAGACCTGAGTCTCATCCTCAAGCTGTCTCATTATACATATGCATATAATTTCCAAATCTGAACATACCTGGTCCCAAGCATTTTGGATATGGAGTACTCAACCTGTATTGGTTGAATAAACTTTCCATTGCATTTTGGAATCCATCCTACTAATCTATGTTGTTATACTTAGAATCAAAGAATTTTAGAGCTAGAAGAGAACAGGGCTTCTAGCTCTGTAGGAGGTTTAATAGGTGGTTTAAAAGGTTTAATAAGGAGCTCTCACCATGTGCAAGTTTTGTGCTACCTTTCTTTCTTTTTTTTGAGACAGTCTCAAGCTGTCCCCCTGGGTAGAGTGCTGTGGCATCACAGCTCACAGCAACTTCCAGCTCCTGGGCTCAAGTGAGTCTCCTGCCTCAGCCTCCCAAGTAGCTGGGACCACAGACGCCTACCACAACGCCCGGCTATTTTTTGGTTGCAGCCATCATTGTTTGACAGCCGGGGCTGGATTCCAACCTTCCACCTTAGGTGTATGTGGCTGGCACCTTAGCCACTTGAGCCATAGGCGCTGAGCCTGTGCTACCTTTCATTGACTTTTGTTGTTAACTTTGTTCTGCTCCTTCCTGTGCACTTTCTGGCATGAATCTTTGTGGTAGAAAATACGCATTTCTCCACCGTGAGTAGAAAAGTCAGAAAATGGATGAAAGTGTTAAGGTTTTTCATGGGATATTGATCTTGCCTAAATTCTTTGATAATTTAGGGAGGTCATATGGCTTTTTACCTCTAACTGAGGTTGGAATCCTTTCTTCACAGTGACTGAGTTTTCAAAGAAGACTGGAGACTATCCCAGTCTCTCTGCCACAGATATCCAAGTGCTGGCACTCACCTACCAGTTGGAAGCAGAGTTTGTTGGGGTGTCTCACCTAAAACAAGAACCAGAAAAGGTAAATTAAGAGGGTTTTTTTTTTTTAACCTTATTACAGGAGCTGTCCGATATATAAAAGTAGAGGAGATAGAATGATGATGAACCCAGTACTTTCTCCATCACGGCACTTTTACTCTTACCATCTAATAGCTGGTCTGTTTGCATCTATACGTACCCACAGCCCTGATAAGGATACTTAAAAAAATAACCTGAAAGCCATTATCACACTTATCCATAATTAAAAGTAATCTCTAATATCATCATGTATCTAGTGTTCCCATTTCCCAGATGTTTTATATATTTTATTAAGAGTTTATTTGGGGCCAGGCCCAGTGGCTTACACCAGTAATCCTGGCACTCCAGGAGGCCGAGGCAGGTGGATTGCTTGAGCTCAGGAGTTTAAGACCAACCTGAGCAAGAGCCAGATCCCATCTCTACTAAAAATAGAAAAACTAGCCCTGCATTGTGGTGGGCACCTGTAGTCCCGACTATTATTCATGAAGGTGAAGCAAGGGGATCACTTGAGTCCAGGAGACTGAAGTTGCCGAGAGCTCTGATGTCACAGCACTCTAACCAGAGCAATGGAGTGAGATTCTGTCTCAAAAAAAAAAAAAA